ATATATTAACGCCATATCGAATGTAACCTCATTCGTTATTATATGCAAAATATTTTAATAATATTTTGTTCGACACAAATGCACAATATGGGTAGAAAAGGATGCTACTCGAAAATTTAAACTTTAAATTAATTTTACAAATAATTTCAAAACCTTGGATTATACCAAACTAAACCAAAACTTCTCTTAACACACATTCAAGGATACATACTTCTCATGTGTACGTCTACATATTTCTCACACCTCAAACACATGGTAAACATTTTTCTTAGCACACATTACTCTCAGGTCCATATATACTATATATCCGTTGAGTAAGCTAAGGGACAAGACGGCTCAATTTTTAGCTTAAAATTTTAAGAAAAATCGACACGACAAAATTTGCTGACGGTTCCTTCTTACTTTTGCAGTTTTTATGTGAGGGCCGACAAGGAACAACAAGTTAGCGCCAGATCAGCGGTTGAGACAACCGAAGACTCCGAAACAAGCCGCCGGTTGACACTAATATCCGGTGATCATGAGCCTGGAGCCTCTGCTGAAGCATCGTTCGCATCAGTGATATCGGTAAAAAAAATATGCACTTGTAACGCGGTTAACAAAAAAAGCAGGGATAGAAAATGACTTACATTTAAATATGCAAGTTAAAGTTCAGACTCGATAACTGGAATGTTTTTTTACACAAATGGATTTTTTAACGAAATGGATTAAAAACAGCAAGTGAAATCTAATCCAAATTAAAATTTCTAAAATAACTAATTTATATTCATCAACAATGGCGGGATGTTTGAAAAATTTTCTTTTATTTGTCATTCAGACATGTTGGCTGTAGCGTACACTCGTAGCATTTGAAAAGATGAGCCTTTACATGCAGTTATGACTTTTAAATTTTCTTAATTGCTTCTTTTTTTCTTTTCGCTCCCATTGATTCATCGCGGATTCATTTTTTTCAATCCCTGTTATCATAAAATGAATCAAAATTATTACGCAACATTCCAGTCATTGCGACGCATGTACACTTTTTCAAGCCACAAATATTTCAACACCCGAGTTCTTTAAGAATATATAGCGGAGACAAAAATATATTTTAGCGTAAATATCGAATAAAAGAAGCGAACTCCAGATAAAAATCCTGGGAAGAAAAAGCCAGGAAGGAAATCTGCTTGGAAACAATAAGCCACGTCAAATAACGGGACATCCATGAAAAAATTTGTCGGTCTGCTAACAAAGAAAATAATTGCTAATAATTTATAACAAAACATTTTTAATAATAAAAAAGGGAAACTAAAATATTCTCTGACACAAGAGTTCCCCGCGAAAATTTTTCAGAAACAAGTTGTCTCTGAAATAATCTTGTTAGAAACAAGAGCTCACAGAGAAAGCCTTTCGAGAAATGTAAAGGCACTGAGAAAATATTTATATTAATAAAATTACAAAGAAATCGGGGCTGGGTGCGGGTGGTTTCCAATTCAAGAATTTTCATAAAAAAAATTACAAAGAAATCTTTCAAGCAATAAGATGTCTCAAATAAAACTTTTCTAGAAGTAGGTAATCGGTGAGAATAGGTTTCTATTATTAAGCACACATAGAGAACCTTTCTATAGGAATAAGGGGTTAAGGAGAAAAAAATTACCACAGGAAGTCAAAATATAATTCTTTATAGAAACAAAAAGCTTGGAAGAAAATCTTTCGATAACTAAGAGATCACAGAGAAAATATTTCTGTTGAAAAGGTATAAAAATTACATTACAGAAATTAGGTCACTGAAAAAAAATATTTCTTTAAATAATAGAAATTCCCAAAAGAAAGGTCTTTCGCAAAAACAAAAGGCTAGAAAGAATATTTTTTCCAGAGCCTAGAGGTCTCTGACAAAATCTTTCTGGAAACAAGAGGGTGCTAAGAAAGAGAGGTTATCTGAGGTAAACCAAGCGTGTCACAAGACCATTTCCATATATATTGGCTGAAGACGTGCTTGAGCAGAGCGTCTCTGCAACACAGAAATGCCTCTGCGACACTTCTTTGGGCTTCATACTGCCACTTATACTTCCAATAAAGACGTTTTAGGCCCTAATGTCTCTGACAGAAAATCGAAATTGCTCTTGACATTTTTTCCAGGGTTTTAATCTTCATGCCTCAGTTCCCGCGCAGCGAATAGAAATGTTTTCGAACTGTTCGTGGTTCCGATGACAGTAATTCTTCAGATGACATCAATTATGCGGTTTTGATTTTCACGCTTACATATACATGTTCTTGGACCTAATGTCAAAATCCTAGAATCAGAATTGTTACAGAGGATCTTTTATTGAATATTTGATTCACAACTGTCTATTCTCGAGAATTTTATGCGACAGTGTCATAAATAGAAATTAATCAATAAATCCAGTGCAAAATTAAACTTACCATTTGATCTCGCCAACTTATATGAATGAAAATGGATTAACCAATCCGCCCTGTCTTCGTTAACTATAAAAATTAAGCGTTAACATCTGAAGCAAAAACTCGTAAAACAAATCCTAAATTAGCTCAATCATTTATCAAATTATTTGACAGATTTCCACTGTCAACAATGGAAAATTCACAATATAAATCAGAAAACCAAATTCATTCAACGGAGCCTATAGCGTCAACATCGGCTGTCGCCCTCCGGCCGTGACAGATGAGTAGCAACCAGCGCAATGTTTATATTTATATTTTCTCAATTGTTTACAATTTCTAAAATCAGCAATTTTTCCCAACTCGAATTAGAGTGAACATGCGTTATCAAATCACAAAGAGGGAAATCATGATCAGTATTAGAAGCGTGGATGAACCTACGAAGAAAATGAAGGCAGAGACTCGAAATGCAATGATCAACATTCCTATTTATAACCTAGAGAAATAATTTTTTGTGATTATTATGGGCATGACTTTGAATTTATGGCATATTCAGCCAATGGAGCATTTCTAAGCCTAATAAAAAATATTATTTTATTGCATTTTTAGCACAAACAGATAAGTAACTACAAAGGTTTCATGGTTCTCGTGTTAAGTTTCAGTTGTGAACTTCTGACACCGGTGAGAAAGAAGACAAATATTTTCAGCGTGCACGTAAAATAATTGGTCATGGTCATCTAGTGGACCCAGTCATTCTTTTCTCGTTTGGCTACCGAAAAGATACAGTACCCCTTTGAATTCCGGGCGAATTTTTTGTGGAACAAGAGGCTTCTCTTAGGATTTTTTCTTGTTCGCAAACAACTTAGGGCGGCGGTAATGGACGAAAAAAGGGCCACCAACTTCTCCTGGATGGTCGTCGCGCGTAGATTTCGTGCTTGTTAGACCTTTTTTCTCAGGACCAAACTTTAGCTTAAGACTCATTGAGATTTGGAGAATTCGATAAAACTGAGCCCGAGTCCCGCGAACCCAAAGAAGGTTTCCGCGAACAAGATAAGGAAAAGCTTCGTCAGTTGAGGCTTAACACGGCAGGGTGCGGGTGGTTTCCAATTCAACAAAAAGATTTCGATTTCTGTATAATTTTGAAATGTTCAACTTTTGTGGACTCTCATCATGCTAACAGATTAATATGGAACGTTTAGCAGAGCTGAATCAAGGTAAATTCAACGTGTGAATCCAGGTGGAAACTAACAATATGTAGACGTGATTATAACTAACTTAACAAATTACGAATTGTATTATCGGCACACACATTTAGCTGAATACGAGGTTGAAGCTGAGGTTTATACGATAGATTGCTACACAAAAAATCGAGAAAACAAGAAAAGTTGACTTAAAATAAAAACCTCATGGAAGTAGTTTTGTAGCCTTAACGATCGAAATGCAAGGCACTAAAAAAATCCGGTAATTAGCGATCAGCTGGGCAATAAAAATTATAATTTATTCAAGCAGTATCTCTTGTGTACTAACTTCGTTACATTTTTTATCTGTGATAAGATATGTCGAGAAGATTGGTATTTGGCACCCCTACTTTCTGTACGACTTTTTTCTAATTCTGAACGAGTGAGACAAGATAGCTTAATCTCTTAGTCTTCAGCAGTTTCGTAGCCAACAGAAGGCGTCTTGTAACGCAGACTCACCAGAACTCAAAATTACTTCACCGACTAATATCGCGAGAACTAAACTTCACTGAAATAATGTTCCAAACATCCGAAATTAGAACATACTTAGTGTATATTAGTAATTGTAAATAGTTTCTGATGAATTTTCCTTCGAAAGTAGGTCAGTTAATCAATGACCAGGCGATGAATAGAGAGAGTGAGCCTAAGAAAGTCTCGTCATTTTAAAGACTTCGCTGCGACGGGATGGCTCCGTTCTGAAATAACAATGTCTTGAGTCGCAAATATTTTTACGAGAGGGAAAGACATGGACTTCAAACTTCCAATTTATTACCACCGGTCATCTTTGCAAAGAGACGTTAAATTTAAAAGTTTCAAAGTGAATTTAAAAAGTTGCATTTATTTGAAATTAAATTAAATCTTTATCGCCAGAGTGATAGAAAATTACTGTGTTGAACTTTGAATTACAGGTTCATCTTAGCGCAAAATTTAACGTTCAGGTGACTTAGGACAAAATGATGAAAAGTTTTCAGCTAAAAATACTTAATGTGTTCTATGCTTTGCAAGCTAATCCTTTATGGATAATTTTTGTCTGAATTCGGTACCGACAATTTTGCCAGAACGCTGCTGAGTTTTGTGAGCTGAATTGCCTTGGCATGAAATGATTATAGGGCGCATCGTCCATTTATAAAGGATGCTGGAGTATAGAAAACGAGGAAATTAATCCCAGTTGCCGAACAATAATTATAGGAAGCCTGAGACAACCTGTAGAATATGTTCTACTTAGAAATTGAAATGAATTTATATTAACACTGCTCAAATGCTACGTTAGATAGGTAATTAAAATGTCTTTGTGAAATTAAGTTGCAAGATCACTATTTGATTTCTTATTGACAAAGAATGAAGCCCGATCACGTACAAATGTTTGAAACCAAGGGCAAGATAATTACTTACTTGGTCATTGGTAGGCTGGTAGCCCTTCTACTTCAAATCAGTACAGCCTGTACAGGTACAGGAATTCATCTATGAAATGCAAGTTGCAACTACCTACTAATTACCACGTATACCTTTTCCAGTCACAGGCTCTATAGCAGTTTTCTAACGACTCAAAAATCTATTGAATGATTTTTCTATGAATGTAACGACACCACAGTGAATATTAACATCTCTGGAATTTTTTTAGCACACTAATGTAGGAGTTTTTCAGCACACTAATATAATAAATTCACGAACTAAGGTTCGCTCCAACACACAAGCCCATCACCGACACATCAGAAATGTCCGCCATGTTGCAACGGTTCCGGTGCGAGGCGTCGATGTGGCGGAAAGTTCTGCTGGCTTTGTGCATGCAAAAGAGTCTTTCATGGGTGTCTCAAAAACTTGGAACAGAGGCGGACTTTTGCCTCAAATTATTCAAATCGTCGGTTGAATTTTTGGAAGGTGGATGTGAGCACGGCTTTGGAATAAACCTTGAGCTCTGATTAGACTACGACTGAAGCCAGAGAAAGAAGCCGTTGCAGTAATGCATTTTCACTTTTCAGAAAACTAATATGAATTCGAAGAGATATCCAGTAATATGAAGTGTAGGGCAGGAAATACGTTTTTATAAGTATTATTATGAAAATATTATTTACGTGTTTCAGTAGTGCATTCAGGTTCTAGGTGTTATCTTCTTAGTAAATTATAGTAGAATATACTATAATACAATACTATTAGTATCTTTTACTAAAATTTGCTATTCATTCTCACTTTCAATTAAAGAGCCAGGAGAGCATCTGCCACACCAGTAATAGTGGAAACTCGTACATGAGCTTTGCGGACTCATGGATCATAGAATAAATGAGAGGGGATAGGGCCTACTCTATATTTTACACCAACGACTATTTTCTATTCTGCACCAACTGCATTGCTGAACGGCAATGCAGTTTTTTATTTGAGTGTCATCTATTTTGAAGGAGCGATTAAATGCACAAAACAGTTAATTGGGCCAGGAATAAGGATCATTTCAAATTTAAAAAGGCTAATAAAAATTCCAAGCATTATACAATTTTTACTACAGGTTCATAGAAATATGTGCTTGCCATATTAATACACAATTATTAATAAAGTCTAGATAGAAAGTTACATTCCTCGCATACAATAGGAATATTCCCCGGTACGTTTGTAAGACGAATTCTAGAAATTCTACGAAAATTGAAGTTAAACCAATCATGCATGATCGAGCTCATCAGTTGCCGTCTACACACAACCCTATTCTCGAATCTAAAACTAACAGAAAAAATTTTCATTCAGTCTCCAGGATAATCTGATGAAGCATTGGCTTTATTACCTAATTTTCCTAATTTTTACAATTGCTGGAGATTGGGCAATATTCTTGCCGTTTAATTAAACAAAAATTAATTTTGTGAAGAAGGGTTCGTAAATTATTATCTCAATTGACTCAAACATGAAGAGTGTATTTGCTTGAACACACAAGCAATTTTACATGATAAAATATTTAATTGACAACAAACAATTGTCTGATGAAAAATTTTGATAAGACAATCACTTAATTCAGGCAAAATTTATGCCTTAAAAATACAAAGCATGAGTATAAACTTATTGAGAAATCTGTTGAACCTCTGAAGTTTTCACATTATATAACTTTCTTGACGTTACGTATGTAGGAAGTACTCGGCTATTTGAGAATTACCAACAATTATGTTATGATAATAATCGAATAATAAAAAAGTAACGAAAATTTTGCACGAAGGTCGACAAAATAAATACGTCATTACATTTTCAGAGAATATGGTAACTTAAAGAAAGAATAATCTTAGCCGCTTATGGAGATCAATTTCAATGCTGATCATACCTCGATTGGAATGCGAGTCAAGTACGATGCTTAAGTAATTCATCGTTAATTAATTCATCTTTAATTCAGGCCATGAGACTTTGGGTAAAACGTTTAACCTCATACGCAGCAGGTTCATCAGATAAAGTAGATTAATTTGATAAGAAAAAATAAATAAAATTGATTTCATGGACAAAATGAGTTGAAATTGTTCAAACATTACTATAAAATAGTGATTTTTGATTGATAGAAATTGAATTTTAGTTTATATTTTTATAAGTAGTGACAGAGAAGGATAAAAATAATTTGATAAACGAACATTGTTCTAAATTACAGCGATTAACAATAGAAGTGCTTGGGATTGTGAATACGTGAATTTGTATATATCTCCACTCCTCGCATTACTAAGATAGTCTTTATACAATGACGTCACAGCTTAATATTTGGGACGGTAATTCTATGTTATTTTTTTCGAGGCGTTAAAATCAGAGCTTAATTTCTTTAGCCTTCATTAGGGATGTTTAAAATTATATTCCACACATCTGACTAGAGATGCAAAAAAAACGTTTTTTTTTCCAGAGTGTTTTTTTTAGTAAAAAAAAACATTTTTTTTGTGTGTTTTTTTTGTTTTTTATTGTTTTTTTTTCTTTCGTGTATTTATTTGGGATCAATATATCTATACCCTTAATATACATTGAAATGATGTGTTTTTAAATCTTATTTAACATATCTCATGTGTGATTTATAATTTATCAAGCCTAATACTTCTAGTTCTTGACTCAGTCCCTCCCAACCAGATACCAGACTCTGATATCAAAATCTGTAGAAAAAATAAAAGCATCTAAAAAAAGTACTCCATTTCAAGTAAACATATCGAAGTCACTTGTGGTATGTGACGTGGGTCACGTGCCTCATCGAGTCGGCATCACTCACCATGACTCGTGAGGCATGATTCACTCAGAGTCACTATCACTTATCACTGTATCACCAAGGCTTTGAAGAGTATCTTCTTGTTGATCTCCATCAGGGTCATGAACATCATCCATGTCCATATGGCTGTCAGTGTCACTGTCTGACTCGTTTTGATGCTCTTGGTTTAAGCCTGCAGTTGTTAACAATCACGGCCATTTTTCTGAGGCTGATGGCAATGCAGCAGGTTCATTATCGGCATCGTCGATCAATTGTAGGTTATGCCCTATATACACCAATTTGCCCGCCCTCTCTGCTGTCAATCTATTCCGCTTCGCTGAGTGCACGTGCGAGTGCCTGCTGAACGAGCGTTCAACAGCTGCACTTGTGGGAGGCAAGTTCAGTATCTGACTGGCGATTTTTGATAGTTCAGTGGAGCCACACAAGCTAGACCACCAAGTCGATGGTGTGGTGTGTTTCACAGCATTCCAGATGTATGGCTTATGAAATAGTTTCTGTTTTGATCGGTAGTCTGCAATCTCTCCAAAAAGTTTGCCACCATTAACACATGGCATGCTAGCACGGTTCACTGACTGGCGGCCTGCAACAATGTTAACTAAAAGAAGATGCAATATACAAGGATGATGCAATAACCCGCGCAGCTCACTGACTGGCGGCCTGGAAGGCTGGAACAATGTTAAATAAAAGATGATGCAATATGCAAGGACGATTTAACAAGCCGCGCGGGGACGCGGCGCCGCCTGGCAGCCTGCACCTGCTACGTTTATTGAAAGATGATGCAATAGGCAAGTAGCTATGATGCAATACAAATGACTTTGCTGTCATTCAATGATATTAGGAATTTTAAGATACAGCATAGACCTGTCACCTATCATCCTGTGGCCCTCAGGTAAAGTGATTATGGATTTATTTGCATTTATTTATGTTTTTCTAAAAAAAACAATAAAAAACATGTTTTTTTAGGCTGATGTTTTTTATTAAAAAAAACTTGTTTTTTATTAAAAAAAACATGAGTGTTTTTTTTACGTCGCATCTCTACATCTGACTATCATCTAAACTAAACATTGGTATTATTATAATCGTATGGTAATTAAATAAATCGATTACTTAATTACTCAATAAACCGATTTCTTATTCAATAGGTCAATTACTAATTTACAATAAATTATTGTCAAGGATTGCTTATTCAGTAATCCAAGCGCGAATGGAATCATAAATCGAAGTTCTTTTTGACCGTGAATAGGACAGCAAAGTCGCACCTTGCATTAATGTAAACTAAAATTCGAATATATTTGCGCAAAATTTGCGGAATTTACACATCAAATATAAAAAAAAAACGACCAACAATGGAGGAGAAACATCAGGTTAAATTTGTGGATAATTTTTCAAACAAATGACGTATATTTTTGAAACGTAATCACCTCCCAATATTAGTAGACTTAACGAGGATTTAAACACTGTTGATGAAGTGAAGTATAAAAAATCATGATCATGAACGTTGATACTAGAAACCAACAGAAGAGAGAGAGATAGAGAGAGAGAGAGAGAGAGAGAGAGAGAGAGAGAGGTTCGACATTGATAGATCGTATTGTGCCTGAAATGAGACAGAATCACGATTCAAGACCGGAAAATGTTCACAACAATATATAGGTTTCAATATAAATTTAATTTATCTGCACTTTTTCAATACTTTTAGATGCTCACCAACCAAATTCAAAGACGTAGTCAAATATCATCAAGAATTATTCAAGGTAAAAAGCCGCTTTTAAAGTAAAACATGAACTAAAAAATTGTTTTGAAAATGTTTAAGAAATCCAAAGGTTTACAGGTCATTAACAAAAATTAACAGAACTTCTGGAAGCCTTAAATTACGTTCCCACTGCACGTCTCAATGGTGTGTAATGGTTTGTTCACAGTATTTCCATAAATTTATTAAAAAGACTCACAAAAATGCCATTGGCAGGGAAAATTACATTTTCACTAAAGTTCACCAGAACGTAAACAGAAATTACCAGCCACGCCGCTGAACCTGTACGAAGCAGCTTATTTTTCAAAAAGGTAATCTAGGGGATTTGGGCAGCCAAGTTGAGGCAGGAAAGAGAAAATGTGAATTATTCAGAGCATAAGTCATGAATGCCTCAAATTAGTCGTGAATGTAAAGTGATTCTATTTTTATCAGATGGCAGCCGATTTAAATCATTAAGAATCGGCAAAAATACGGTCGAATAAATTTCTCGTAGCTACGCTGAAGTGACATCAACAGGGGCGATCCAAGTGGAGCAGAGAACATTGCTGCCGATGGTGAAGCTCTTGGCCCTGAGGAGGAGAAGTAGGAACCTGACGATGTGAACACTTCACTTAGTTTTCATGTGAAATTCGGCAAAAAATTTATGTTGTTTTTACTTACTGGAATAGTGATTTGAATGATTCATGAAAAGCAATACTTTTATCCTGCGTCAATATAGTATTAAATTTATCAAAATCTTTCTTAGTGCATAAAAAATATAAAAACAACCTTGAAAAAGATCCCTGTTGAAAATTCAATTCCCCAGCTGCTTTAAAATATACAATTAAGCATCAAAGCCTTGCAACAAGCCCCATGTACTAGCATTAGTTTCGAAAATTAAAGTTTTTTCATCATGAGTTTAAGTTGGCTGCGTAGTTGGACACAGCGTCTGGCAATCTCCTGCAAGTCCTCTGCGCTAATTCAGCTTGTCTGACGTGGAGCTTGGAAATGAAGCAGAATATTTCATGCATGTGTGTGTTCTAGAAGCTAAATTATTTGGAGCTGCTGCGACGTCAACATTTTAGAATGGTCACTGCAGCTAAAAAAAATTATATTTAGAACTTTTTTAAATTACTGGTTCCCCAGCCACAGAAAAAATGGAGACAAATATGCAAATACAACATCATCGAGAATTTGCGAGAATACATATTTTGAATGGATATTGTAAGCAGATACCCGTATGGGTATTTTTTCATGTAGGACTACGTTTATTCAAGCAAAAGTAATTCCTTGAATGAGGGACTGCAAATTCAAAAGTTGTGTTTTAGTTTTTATTTTCATTGGTAAATCAGAAAGTTGTAAAACTGAAGTGACTTGTTTTGAAAAGTGAAATTTATCGGCTATATTCATGTAAACCTTAATTATAAGAAATAAAATAAAAGATGAACAGAGAACTGATTATAGCGTTTGCTTTGAAACCGAGAAAAATTAATTATTACTTAGATATATGAAAATGAATAAAGGACGGCAGGTGCCGTTGTGGGTTCTCAATCTAAAAATTTCATACAAAATATGCCTGAGGATTAATCAGGTTTGAATCGGAATATTTTATGCAAGTGAATTTTATAGAATTTAGATTAATATTCAAATCGCTCCGAGTGAGAAATTTGACGGATGGAAATATTTAAGAACGGTTCATGTTTACGAAGCTTCCATTCAAAAACCAAGTGCTAGAATGACGTTATGAAATTAAATATTTCATCACGCAGGCATAAACAATGTTATTGCACCATCTTGAATAATATTATAACACCGTCTTAAAAATGCAATTGTTTAAGATTGTTGGTTTTAAATTAAGATTACAACAATACCACAAAATCGAAACTGATAAAATGCTTTTCGCAACATAAGTCTGTAAATTGAAACAGAAAAATATGAATTCATTTATGCAAGTATTCCAATTTTTAAGAGATTTGAAAACCTGTTAAAGTTCGTGAAGTGCAAAATTATACAATATGATTCCTCTTGCTTGCAAGAGTTTGAACTAAAAACAAAAAAATTTAGATGTGACTGGAATATAAAGTAGATTAAATGCATTAAAACAAACATGATTTCACTCGAGATTGAAAGTGCTTTAACTTAAGAAGAATAGGTGAGATCTCTCACAACATCACCCGAAAAAAACATCGATCTCAGAAAGCAAACTATGTATAATCAGCCTCTTACTGTTCGCATGTGCAGAGAGCAGAGCTGGGAGTTGCAGGCAAGATGTTCTCAGTTGCAGGGAAGGAAAAACAAACGCTCATGCAACTTTCCAAGGCAATAGAGCGATCCTAAACTTCGTAAAAAAGTTCTAGGCGAATAGTTTGCTCCATATCTGTGACCGATGACAGACTGGCTATGATTTATGAGGGAAAATGATAGGGTAAAGAGATTCATAGGGCAGCCATGTTTGATGGTTGGTCGTTCCTGAATCGTGTATGAATTACAAAAGATTTTATAAATAAGAAATTGATAATAAAATGATCAAAGAAAAACATGTGATTTACTAATGATTTTGAATGAATTATTTGAGGGTAAATTGACAGAATAAAATACTCCCAATACCAGTGATGCGAGGAGATGGGGAAAAAATTGTTGTGAATTTTGCGTAGGAAAGCCGTCAATGGGAATGAAAGCCGTGTCTTAAGATAACGAGGCGTTCCAAATCCCTTAAAAAAAAAAAACAAGGAAAGTGGTTGCCTGAGGATTTGCGTGTTTTCGAATACAAATGACTTCATGAGACTAATGATAGTAGCAGATTGTGTGAGGTAGACGATTGTGTTTGTTATGAATCGTACAATAAGTACTGTTGATATTTGACTTAAATAATTAATGCCTTCCTAATCAAGCAAGTGAAAATGCTCATGCAGGATTGTGAAAGTGTCTTCTTCAAGGTGAAAAATAATAAAGTAATTTAGGGTATGTAGATACAAGCGCACAGGGCACGCGTCAGAGTGACGTAAATTAAGAGATTAGAGTTGAGAGAAGATAACGCAATAGATAGTTCATGCAGAGTGTCGCGTGTCCGATGGATGTAGTTAGTTTAACAACGAAGACTGAATTTTCAAGGAGAGATAATTCGTGAGTGCTATTTTTCAATTCTTGGCAATGAATTTTGTAACGAGAATCTTAAAACCAATTTCACAGTTTTCGTATACTAAAATTGGGAGAGGCTTCAGTTATTCAGCTAATGTTTTGCTAGTTGAAATGAAATTTACGGTTTAATTTTATGCAATTTTTTTAGATTAAATAGATTAAAGACTTGGATGTAAAGTTTTTGAACGTAGAATGAACAATAGGGGAATTCCGATGAACAATACGTAGAAACATCTAAGAAGTTTCAGAGAGAAATTATTGCATATTATTATGATAAAATGCATCAGACAGGAAATCGTCAGTTAAGTTTCTTCCGTCCTGAACAAAATAAATAAAAATCATATAAAATGGCCAGTTTTTTAGTGGTCTGGATCGTCCAAAGAGTCTCGACGCGCTAGAGTCAGAACTTCGTTCGAAATTCTAGGGAGAAGTTTTGCTTTTTTATGTTGCGTTTGTATCAGAAGTTTACTAAAGTGATTAAAGTTTTGGAGGTCGAAACTCAAGCGCAGCTCAAATCTGTCGTGACAAGAGCGTTAAACGAGAAAGATGCACACGTTTGACTGCTTGCTGGGCTGATTGTGTTACATTCCTAACCCATATATACATGTTGAAGGCCTACACATTGACAATAATCCAGGCTAATTATCGTTGATATAATAACGGAATTTAATCGTAATAATGATGTGTTAATACCTTATATTGGTAGCTGTTGGTCAGATCGAGGATTGTGTCCATAAAGATTGATAAATTGATTCCGAATAATAATACTAATAATTATAATAATAATAATAAACGATATTAAGCGATTAAAAGCATTTATGATTGATTCACGTGAAACTGTTATTTTTTTAAGTTGAAACCTACGTTTGAACTTTCAGGCAAAGGCAGCTGAAAAGTTGAGCGTAACCGGCCCCTAGAGCAATTGCCATTTTCAACAACTTCTGAGGGACAAAAAGGGTTCCTTGTATTCAGTAAAGTTAAGGCTTATAGAATCAAAGGTTACACTAGATGACATGATAAAATATCTCCTATAATTCTATAAATGAATGATGGTGCCTGTATATCTGTATGAAACATTCTTTAAAATACAGGAAGTGAATGATTATGTTCATAAATGTGACAAAAAGTAGTGTGAAATTTCGTAAATTGGATGTTTCATTCACGTGGCCGAAAATCTCAAAAACTAAATAATGACATAAATGAGACCTATTAATAGGGATAATGAAATCAAATGATGTATGGTGACGGCGACAATACATGCGTTCGAAATAAATTAGTTGTCAAAATTTTTTTGAATATCCCAACATTTTTATTCAAATATGATAAGAAACCTGCTAAATTTAAATGTTAACCAGTCAACTTGCGAATCTCTACATTTTTGGTTATGCTGCTTTAGAATAGATGAGGTAATTATTTAGTATGTTTCGTATGGAGTTAGCAAGACTTTCCCTGAGATAGATAATTGACGCGATATAAGAAGCATGTTATTCTGAATCCTGAAATACTGGATCCAATATTCCAGAATCCAGTCTTAAAAGTAACGAACGTTAATTAAAACTAGTCTTGTCCGATTCACATTAAGCACGGAACTCTTGTTTATCTCCCGTTTTTTTTAAAGTCTATGAAAAATGAAGTTTCATTTTTGAATAAAATTACACTTAACAACGTCCAATTAAATGTTTTAAATCTAACTTTTCCCCTCCAGATTTTTTTCTATTTCTAATAATTTAACCGTTGAAGCCACATTTTAACTCGCATGTAATATCCCGATACGATAAGTATCGAGAATACGCGCTAGAACTACCCTTGTATTTTTGCGAAGCCAGGCTTCAAACACACAAACAATCGCACCTACTTTGCCATACAGTATATTGATCTTCATATCAGCTTGTACGCGAGCAATACCTATTCTTGCTCCAATATCATGAACGCAAATATTCAACTGGGTTGGGAACACGTGTAGTTTCGAAGTTAAGAAAGATTTTTGTAAAAATATATTATTTTGGGTGTCATCGAACGGGAAAATGATATAAACCGATAAAACAGTACTATATCGACCGCGTATTTCGTTACAAATTTCAACATCCATCATCATGCAGCATGAAGGATAGAGGAAGCAAATGCTTGACAAGAAAAATAGGAATAAGAAAATATTATGCATAAAATAAATGAGGGACATCGAAACAACAAAAAACGGCATAAACGCATTCAATGCAAAAAAATGAGTTTTAAAATTTGATTAAATAAAATATGTAATTCGTATTTTGGGACTAGGAAGATGGGAGGGGAGACGTTGAGCTAGTGAGGGATAATGAGGGAGGTAGAAGAGAAATGGATGTTTGATGTGGAACAGGAGGGATGGAACTGTGCGTAACATACGGAGGTGATGGATGAGAGGATTGCGATGAATCCAGGTGAGTCTTAGAACCCTGGTGGAGTAGATGATGGTGAAGTGGATGTTGGTGGTAAATAAGCTGGTGATGGCGGAGGATTGGATGTGGGAGGATGCTTTGTGGAGGTGAAGAGTGGCAGTACATATCAACAGGACTGTTGTCTGTGGCAATCCTGCTGATGTTGACAGAACTGTTGTTGAAATTCACAGGGCTGTGGTTTGGTATGACGTTGAAATTCATGGGAATGTTTTGAAAAGAGTTAGGTACAACCATATCGTCGTTGGTTGGGCTATGGTTCAAGGATTGGGTGTTCGGTAGATTTTTGAGTGGGTTTGGAAGTGCAAACGGTGTGAGGGGTACAAGAGGAACAAGCGGTGAGAAGGTACTGGGTGCCAGAGCTTTGAGTGAAAGGCAACGGCGACGCCAAGAAGGGATGAGAGGTGGCGATGAATTCGGCGAAGAATTCAGAGGAGAATTTGAGGACTGAAACTGGTTGAGCTGCTGGTGATGGTGGAGCAAATTCTGATGACTGTGATGATGATGGTGGTGGTGGTATTGATGATGGTGATGCATTGCGTATGGAACTATCTGGGATAGTTGTTCAGGATCATCATTATTTTTTAGCAGACGTACGCCGTTAGCAGCAAACTCTGCTCCAGACTGTTGCTGCTGCTGCTGTTGGTAGAAGGCGAGCTGAAGACTGTTGTGATGGTCGTAGACAGGCACTCCAGATAGGCTACTGTCTTGGTTGTTGTCATTACTGACGGTGTCGTCACTGAGGACGCTATGCGTGGCAGTGGTCTCGGCACCAGAGGCCACGGCGGTGGTCACGTCACGTGTTGCAGGGACGTGTGTCGTGGTCGTCATGTTGCATTTGGTGCAGGAGCGACGTAGCGCAGGTCGCTGTTTTGACCCTCGGCACGCCAGAGCGAAGCGTAGCTCGTCTGCCATCTCCAGACACAGGCTCTGCTGCGACCCAGGGCGGGGTGAGTGATAACAATACATTTCTATTAATAAAATGACCTGGTCCTATAATATTAACATGTCATTAGTTATCAAATGAAAGTAATCCGTGGAGTTTGAGATAAGATGAGTCAACCGAACACACTACATTTCCATTTAAGATTTAACGTTGAGGTTATCCTTAAATTTTAGAATGTTCTTTGTCAAATTAAAATGTTCCTGAAATTTGAGACAACTAGAGACAAGTGACAATAATGAATTTCCATGAATAAAATTAGTCAGAAGGTTCAATGTCTGATATTAAATATAAACTTTTCAGGAATTAAGGAAAGCGCTGTCAAATGGCACCGTCACATATTAATATATGGGAAAAATTAATAAAATTAAAATTCAGTGTGAATCTTTATAGAACGAATTTATTTCGTAAAAATTATAACAAAGAAAACTACTGTCAAGTGAAAGCGGCATATTTTTAATAGATGATGGAAATTAATAAAATTTAGTGTCATTCGTTATTCAATGAATGTATTCAGTGATAAACCGTTGGTTTATCATTTTTACTAATATATTTCATGTCAACTCATTTCATTATTGATTATGTATAGGAAATAACTCGTAACATAATTCACAAAATTTTAATTTTTATAATGAAATATATTATAATTTGAAATTACAGAAATTTTTAGTGAACATTTTTCTTCAGAAGTTCAACTGATGAAACCCAGCTAAAATTTGAATAAAAATAATTCAATAATGATTATGAATTCCGAGCACTTTTTTATCTAAATTCAGAAGGGCAGAAGCCTCAAATTTACAAGAACAGAAGTCTCAAATTCAGAACCAAAGAATTCACAAATTCATAAAAGCAGAAGTCACAAATTCAGAAGAGCAGAAGTCACAAATTCATAAAGCAGAAGTCACAAATTCATAAAAGCAGAAGTCACAAATTCATAAAAGCAGAAGTCGCAAATTCAGAAGAGCAGAAGTCACAAATTCATAAAAGCAGAAGTCGCAAATTCAGAAGAGCAGAAGGTGATCTGTCGCCCGGCAGGAAGACAGAGTGCGATCTGTTCTTTTGTCAGGGTAATGGCGGCACGTCTGGACTTACAATGTAACTCTACGGGAGCACGACAGAGATGTACCGACATGCCCACGAAATATCTACCTAGCAATACTTTAGGAAGACGATCATGGTAATTTATGCTAATATGCTAATAAATGCATATTTGAGGCCTTGTATTTAGGTACCTTTCGGTTATGTTACAGTGTTAATTAATCCAAAAGAAAGAGAAGCAATTTTGCACCAAATGCTCGCTCGATCTACTGAAGAGATATCTCACTGCCCAATGACTCATGATACGAATCCAAAAAAGAATATAATAAAAATTTTTAATTACTACAAGCTTCTATTGATTAGATGAAGATAATTCAAAGTGATATTAAATGACATGATATTTACATGATGATTTTTATATTGTATTACACACCGCTTAATTATTTCATCAGGACATCAAAGTTGGGTGGCATTCAAATATTTCATAATCTAATTTATTCTGATGGATACTATAAAGTTTTGTCACTGGCACCAATGATACATCATGTGTGAAGAGCCGTTATCCAGCATGTGTCGGAACATGAAGTTTTTCAAGCAAGGCGCTACTAATAAAGTTTAAGCTATGGCACTAATAAAAAATATATAAAAGAAAACCTATCATGCATGCACCGGAAACAGTACTCATGAATTTCAAACCTTTCGTTGCTGAACGTGCCCGTTGCCTTCATCGTCGCTGGACGTGTCACTGAGACCGCGCGTCTCAGCGTAATGAACGCAAGTATACGCTTTGTAGGACTGCTGGCGTTCACACGCAACAACACACGGATAAAACAATAGAGTGCATGCGTAAAAAATATAACTCAGTACTCGCTGCAGTGAGTGACAGAGAGCGCATTTTCTCGTCGACGAAAACGTGAAGTCACGGACGGACAGACAGGCGGACAGACAGACGGACGGACATGACGAGCACAATAGGGCATTTTTTCCATAAATGAGAAAATGCGCTAAAAAGGGTACACATATAAATTAAGCGTGCAAAAATTAAAACATTTCTTTACTTACTTAATGCACAGAGAGGATACAGGAAATTTTTTTTACAAAAAGAAGAAAAAGTTTCGTCATCTGAAAAAGTTACACTAAGTAACCTATTAAAAAAGAGATCGTAAATCAAAACTGAACTCATGCACTTCAAACAAAAGTATTTCTGGCAGAAAACTGAAAAAACATGAATCAATTCAGTATGAGCTGTTGAAATAATTGCGAAAAATATGAAAAAAAAAACATCGAAGTAGTCGAATTTGTATCATTATTCTATTGGTGGAAAGGAACCCTGGTACTAAAAGTGCAGTTCATGAAAACAGACAGCATCAGAGAACGTGCTGATTAAATCGATTAACGAAACAATAATAAAGCAAGCATCAGAATAAATGCTTTTAGATCTAAAAAAATTATCTTCTGTAAAGATTTTTTAAATGAATTAGTGCGTAGCATTAAACAAATTAATTAAATGGACCGATCAAACTCACTCGTTCGGAATGGGCATTTTTTCGCGAATTCCAGCAGAATTCCAAGATGGCGACGACGATGGCGAGGGCTAAACCGCACAGAAGGACCACGAAGACTCCACCTTTTTTATAACAGAACAAAAACAGAATTAAAATAATTTATAGTTTCTGAAAGGCAAATGTGATGCAAATTCAACGAAAAAGAGACGAAATTAAGTTAATGCGTGTTCAATCGATAGAGTGAAGTGCCAAAAAATGCATCGCGTGAATCATCAAAAATCGTGCAAAGTTCATCACATATATAAGAATCGAGTTAGCATTAAAAATTAGTCTTAGCTCCGTCGATTCACAGTATCAAAAGTTAATCATGCCTCAATATCAATATTGCACTGTGACCACTGCAGTGACTGAACTCTAATTATCTCAAAGAAAATATAATGATAGGAACGAAAAATTCAATGAAAAACAAAATTCATATGTAGAGTTCATAATATTTTAAATTTGCAGTAGCAATATTGAACAAATTTAGAATTTTAAACACTTTCACACAAGCGACCCAATAATGCCAACAGATGATAGGAGTAGATATTCAAGTTAATGGTAATTTGATGTATCAGGATACGATATTTTGTAGCAGAGTAATTGTTGTACTCAGAATTTTGGCATTGAGAATGCACTCAGAGTATTGACATGGAGACTGTACTCAGAATATTGAAATGGAGACTACTCAGAGTATTAACATGAAGACTGCGTACTCAAAGAATTGGCATTGAGACTGCTCAAAGTGTTAACATTGAGACTGTAATAAAAGTATTGACATGGAGACTGTACTCAGAGTATTGACATGAAGACTGCGTACTCAAAGAATTGGCATAGAGTCTGCTCAAAGAGTTAACATTGAGACTGTAATAAAAGTATTGACATGGAGACTGTACTCAGAGTATTGACATGAAGACTGCGTACTCAAAGTAATGGCATTGAGACTGCTCAAGGAGTTAACATTGAGACTGTAATAAAAGTATTGACATGTAGACTGTGCGTCACGACGCATCAGCCGGAATGATGGCTATGAGCTCAAGTAAAGACATTGGGATCATCATCATCATTCCAGGAACGTTCCGGACGACGTTCCCGAGACTTCAAATTCGCAAGGCAGAACTAAAGTTTCGGGCCATAAAGTCACTTAGAATTCCGCACGTCATTTAGTACAAAGAATCCGAGGCTGTTTTGTGTTTTTAGTGCGGCTTCTGAACATTTGTTAGTCATGCAAGAGTACTAAACTACCGCTCAGATTTGCATAAATCTACGGAGGAAAAATGACACATTTTCATGTCACAACCAGAACCTTTTAGAGAATAGAAATTTGAGGGTTTATTGTGCGGAATTTGGGGACAGCAAAAATTTTATATTTTTGAAATGAGGAATGAGGGCACATAAGTCCGAATTTTCGCATCAAAAATACTAAGTGAGAGAAACAAATATTGTTTCAAGATTTATCGTTAAATTCGTCCATTAATTTGTTTCACTAAAGTCATCACATTAAATGTTTCAAGCCGATAAGAATTCAAAAACTAGTAAATTATATAGAATCCAAACACTTAATCGAACTTATTCGAACTTATCACTTTTTTTTAAATCGAACAATTTGCTGACTATTAACTGTCATGAAAACATTTATACTAAATTTCACATATGAGGCAGCATTTTATTACAATTGCGCCAAGTTTTGTAGAATCTTCGAGGCCCTCCAAAGACTCCAGGATGATCGGTAGCTAAAGTTTACCAGCCCGGAAAGTAAGTGCTCAATTTCTTAGGAATATAGAACCGAAAATTGCCGACATAAACTCACGATATACTCGTTTAAGTCTGCTGGCATAAAATTAACCAACTAATAACTAATTATCTGAGTTCATACAATTCTCTTCAAACAAACAAACAAAAATTGATCAATAAGAACAACCAAAATAAATGCGTACGACCTTCATTCTTCTTTATATGACGGAATTCTGGTTTTAACAAAATCCTCAACACTTCCTTCACAGCTATAGTCTCGAAGAAAGGTTAATAAACAACCTTTATTTCAACCTAATCTTCCTCCACGCAACCGAACGCACGGTTTTCTAGTGTATAGAATTCCTAATGTCTCTTCAATAGGGTTACAAATACGACAGGGTTACAAACAACCATCATTCCACGCAAATATTTCTTAACGCAACCAGTTACACTGTTTCACAAAAAAAATCATTAAATTCCTAACGCATCTTTTACAGCTTGTCTTTACTACAGTTTTACAAACAATCATTATTACGCGCAGATCTCTCTATGCCACCGATCGCAACCTCACCGAACGCAACCGATCGCAGTCTCACCGAACGCAACCGATCGCAGCCTCACCGAACGCAACCGATCGCAGCCTTACTGAACGCAACCGATCGCAGCCTCACCGAACGCAACCGATCGCAGCCTCCCCGAACGCAACCGACAGCAGCCTCACCGAACGAAAAGAATCGCAGCCTCACCGATATTTTCGACGCCCAAAGCGTTTGCTTTGCTGTCTTTCGTCTTGTCGTCGCGGTTGCAGACATCGCCGGTATTGCGCCACCACTTGCTGTACAGCATCTGGATCACGCCCTTCTCCTGCAGCTCCAGGATTGCCAGCGAGATCTTGTCCCTCCATGGAGATCCTGACACACGGATAAAATTTGCGAGAAAATTAACATTTTTGTAAAACTTTTCCAAAATTTCAATCTAAGAAATCAATTAACTTTGTAAATCTTTAAATAATTTAAGCGAGACACTATCACTCGTCTATTAACGGCTACAACTAAATAAAAAAGTATGATTTTCCAGTGAAAATCAAGAATGCTCTAAATATTCGCAATGCCAAAATACAAATCCCACGAAAAAAGATGAACTTCTTATTGTCGAGCTCGTGATGCGACAACAAGTTTCTTTATTCATCGAATAATACTGCATAATTAAATGTAAAGCAGAAAAGACTAAGATGTTAATCACACGGGAGATGTTGATAATGAACTAAAAAAACAAATAAACGACATCATTTTAACAAGCTATAACACGATGTTAACCCTTAAGTTAGCCATAATAAAAAAGCATTAAACTATCTGTTGAATGACCGAGGTCTTAAACTAATATGATTGTTCTAGTTTTCCTTGCAGGGAACTAGGTTTCAAATTTGGAACGATACAAATGTAGTTTATAGTTCCAATGTCAAACCCATTATCACGTTAATTATTTTTACACCAATTTCAAACGAAGGAGATGACTTTAGAATTCCTGGTTTCTTTATAAATTTGATTTTGAAATGAACCTCACCCCTGGATTGTTGGTGCGCAGAACCCACTATCATTAACACTATTTATACTCTCTCGCATAAATCCACGGATATTGCATCGAACATTTAAGAATCTTTGTAAAAAAAACATGAACGACATCACGATTTGATAGACAATTCGGAGAATTGTGTGAAACATATTCTGAATCAAAGAGATTACTTTACGATTCGTGGTTTATAGATGAAATTGTGGTGGTGGGGTACACTCACCCATTGGGGTCGCGATGCCATATGAGTTGGAGTTGAGTAGACCCCCGATCTGCGTTAGGTTGCAGTTGCGCTGGATCGTGTAATCCAGCATGGTTGACTCCATCAGGAATGCATAGTTGCCGTTCAGTACCTGGTGGGCATGTGGGCTTTGGTCATCAAACAATGCATGTGGAGTGTAGACAAGGCTAGATAATATATACTATTGTATATTATTATTATTTATATGTAAATTAAGGGTAACTTTGAAGACTCACAGAGCAGCAGGATGAGCGACTAAATATTTCTCTAAAGTCGCGCTTCGAAGGGATATGACGATTTTCCTTCGATGTTATATTATACGGTATTATATCACAATATTATATCACGAGATGATGTCACGATATTACGGCACGTTTTAATCGCACATGTTTTGGTCATGAAAACGTTAACACTTGAACGAAAAAAAACAACTTGTAAGTTTACTCGTTAAACTACTGAATACGGGCGCTCAATGTGACGTATAAAAAGTAGTTATACTTGCAGGCTATGCAAATTAATTGAAAGTTTTGCTGGGCATGTCGTGTATTTAGACAAAAATTAAGGCAATTAAGAAAAACCGTTCAAAAAGCACTTCTTGGAATTGAAGGCTAATTTCTCTTTACTCTTCATGGTGGCCGATCGATGGTTGGCTGTTCCTTACACATGAAATTTTTTAACCAGGATGATACCGCACGAACGGAAGATGTATCGGAAGCACATAAATTAGCCCTGGGATATTGCATGTCCGCTAAGCAATAGAGCAGACTTGACGTGACATAGTACATCCATTTATTCCTGCAGTGACGCTACTCTTCGCATCATTATGACTTCAAAAAGTGAACAGGGTTTAGCATCTTAGAAAAATTAGAAAAAATATTATATCTTATGGGAACGATACAGAAAATATAAGTGTTATATTTCCCACATAGGTTATATGGGATAAAATTGTTTAAAGTAACATGACAGATACAAAAGATATATGGGTTATATATCCCATATAAGTTATAAGGGATAAAATTATTTAAAGTAACTGGACAGACATAGAAGATATATGGGTTATATATCCCATATATAAGCTATATGGGATAAAATTATTTAAAGTAACATGAAAGATACAGAAAATATGTATGCTCACCCTTTCAACACCGTCTTCAATTGTAGGCACGAACACGCTGGGTTTTCTGCTCTCCATGAAGCGCCACATTTTCTGGTACGTCTCGATTTTGGAATCCTGGGATAAATAATGAAAGAGCAATAATAAATCTTAAAAATAAAATTTTCGGCGGAAAAATTCTTGAGTTTATGTTATACGTAAATATGCGACGATGTAAAAAAAGACGAATTAAGCGTACTATTTCTTTCCGATCATACACCTGCATTTCATTCTCATGTACTCATAATCATTTCACGTAATATTTTTTATTTTTTACATTAAAATTGACAATTGCTCTAAATAAAAGGTTCGATTTCAATTTAAAGCTATTACAGTTAATGGCACACAAATGTAATGACATTCTATTTTTACCAGCCATTCAATCTTGCAATTGTTTCAACACTTGCACTTACGTCAAAAATAAGCCAAACGATAAAATATTTCAAAGAGCTGATATATATTATATTCCAGGACTCCGAGACCTATTTTGATTTTTGTTATATCAAAGTTTCACACTGAGCTCACATTCTTTCATTACGAATGAAAATCCACAACATGGTTCATCGTAAATTTCGATTAATACGCATTTACCAGGTTCAAAATTTTAAAACATTTAGTAAATCTGAGTTTCAGTCACAATTTCTTTCATTAGCAGCACGTGGTTTCCACCGAATTATTTTGTTTTAATTGCGAGATCAAATTTCGAGTAGGAGCGAAGAAAGAAACAAAACATTAGTATCATCTGGGCCTTCATATTTAGAACTTGCTCTGAAATTAAGAAATAAGGCCCCGTCTGTGCTGATGTTGCATATGAAGATCAACTGCCGAGTGAGTGAATCGTGCTTCGTTGCACGAAAATCATGCCAAGTGCAGCAGCAGCAGCCGTAACGCTGTCGGTCTGAGGCTGCTACGCAATATGCAGTTCGTTAGGATTTATTCGCAAAACTAGACGTGTAGTCTACTGGATGAGGGACAGAGTAGAATAAGAAGTCTTCTTGCCTTACTTACTCTATTTGCATTGGAATATCTGATGCCACAACTTCCTCCCTATAACGAAAAAATCCTGTCTATTTGGTCTCGAAACTTGGACACAAACGCTCGTCTGTTTTTTATCGATTAGAATAAAACCTTATTGTCTGAGGACATTCATAGAATATTAGAATTGAATTCAGCGCGCGCCAACGATAAAGTCAGTAATTGGATGCGGTCATCTTTAAAGAAATCATAAAATTCATAGAGAATTCACTTCGGAATTAATTTGGTTGAATGCTACAGAATCTTGTGGACGAGCTGCGCTCTAGCACGACGAAGGACACGCGTATAAGATGGCATTATTTTTTGAAACATTGGTCTTAAAATCCTGACAAAAAATCCCACAATTGAGAAATTATTTACTCTAGGCTAAATTTTGGAAAAAAAAAACTTCAACACTTATTAATGATTTGATAATAAAAATTATTATTCTAATAATACTGCCTCTCAAATTGCAACACACTTCCTGTAGAAAATTTTGGAGAAAGTAACATGAAAATATTATAAACCATTGTCTTTGGATGTCGTGGCACACGTAATACCACAACTATCAATTTCTTCAACGTTAATCTAACCTTAATTGCGAAAAATGTCCGTAAGAAAACTTTCGTTGCAAGCGATGTTAGGAGGCAAGGACACAAGCATTGTAGCGGGCCAATTTTTGGCCGCTCAGTTAGTTTTAAGTCGCCGCAATTCTCCGACTATGACTGAAGATGAAAAGTATGAGAACGTATCTTTCGTAGGACGTGTGGATCGTTAGTCTGGAGCTTGGCTCCACTTTGAACTGTTGTCATAGACCTTTTGTTAGTCCTCTCGCTTGCTGTAACTGTATTCCCGTTGTACGACCACCGTGTAAGCCTCTCGTATCAAGTGCATAAGTAAATTCATAACGTGTCCCTTTACCAATCTCGAATGTTGTTGTTCCTCAACCTCGTATGTTAGGGCCAGCGGGCAGAGACCCTTGATGTTCGAATCCCACAGTTGTCCCGCTGCAGCATCACCGATCAGTACACACGCACCAAATATGTGGCGTTGAACAAACATTGATCAAGCGTTGTTTCAACGAAATTAAATCGTAATGAACGCTGTTTTAATGTCATTTGCTTTTGGGTAAAGACATTTGTTTATAATGTACGTACCCTGAAGAAAGCCATTGTCGATCCGCCTTCTAAAGTGCCATACTCGATCTCGTTTTGCTCGGCCAGATCTTCTGCACTTTCTGAGAGGAAATAATATATTTGATAGTTAAAGGTAATTAATAAAGGGCATTGATGATAAGTGTTTTAAAAATTTCATCATTGAAGAAATCTGTGGTTAGAATTGGGAATTAGGTTTAGGAAAAAATGAGCTTGGATATTCTAGATATTTCTGATGAGTTTTTTCAAATCACCGGCTTGTTTCATGAATTTTCTAGGAGGGCTTTGTAAAGAAATGCAGATGTTAAAATTATATCAGAACGCTCCCAAGTCACATTACATTAGATTACCGAACAACTAACTATCCCTTGGTTTAATTATAAATGCGTTCAAACTTACCAATATTTAACCAGCAGCAGTTCTATTAATTTTTCTTCAGATCAGGAATTCAATCATATGATTTAAGTGAGCATTTAACTTAGAGATCATAATATAGTGAGTTATATTCACTCACTATAGGCTCACCTATAGGCGTAATCATGCGCTCGACGGTTAAGAAGGCGGCGAGGTTGGCGGTGTACGAGGAGATGATGATGAGCGTGAAGAACCACCAGATGCCGCCTACGATTCTCGTGCTCGCTGCCTGATGCGTCAAACACAATATTATTGCAGGTAAGTTCTAATGACTATAAATGATACATATCAAGTTTTAATGAATATAAATGAATGTTTGATAATGTATTACATCATTATATATAACAAAAATATAAATATAAATATCAATGCAAAATATTCATTGATGTAAATAGGGAAAAAAAGAATTCATTGGAATAGATGAAACTGAGTTCTAACACTTACAATGCATCGTCATTGTTGCATATCTTCATGAGCTAAGAGGATCAGCATTAAAAGCATAATTGTTTAATAAGTGATTGGAATTGTTATTTGTTCAAAAATAGAAACAATTTAAGGACTCACATACAAACAAAAACGTTGTAAAAATTTATTTACCGAGCGGGCCGATGATCTTTGTGGTCTGGATTACAATAAAGATTTTACCTTAACTCAGGAGCACTCGAAAGTAGCGTCGATTTTGGACATTAAAAATCTCCAATCATGCGCTTGGCATTCAAATGAAAATTGCAAGCATTTTAAATGAGCCCAATCGTTGGTTTTCAGAGGCCACTAATAATAAGCTACAGATTTTTTAGTCGAGCATTAAATAATGAACACAAAATGAAATCACAATAAAAAATTCTCAGATTAGTAACAAAAATTAACCAAAGTAACTAAAAACTAATTTTCCACAAGACATGCAAACAAATTAATTGTATTGATGAGAAAAGAACATAATGAATGCAGAATGGTTCGATAATGGGCACGCAAAGAAATATTTAACTGAAATGTTATTAAACTCAAGTTTAATTTACAAAAAAAAACTCATACTAGGGTAATGATAAATGCTTAACCTTGGACTTAATAAGTAAAAAAAGTAAACATTGAGTAAAATTAAAATACGGACTAATTAACGGTCAATACAAAAAGCCTTGAGGCAATCTTCAGCTACATGCATTCACTTATAAGCAAATAGAAATAGTAATGTTGTCACTTTAGACCAACAGTATACGAAGGAAGAATTGGTTTTTCACTAAAAATCTTAATATCACCAGCGCAAAAAATTAAGAACAAGGAAGCAAGTGAAACGTTTTTACAAAAACCATAGCAATTCCGAAACCAGCTGTGTAATGATCATAAAGAGGATAACTTATAAGATGAAATTATGAACAGCAATGCAAACGACAATGAAGAAGCTGTAAATATGATTAGGTGACTCGCACTGATTGATTCGAGATGATCGGGTGATTTGAATGTAGGAAGAAAAGCATATAGAAGTGTGATGCGTAATGCATAGATGAATAAATTATAATCGCCAAATAAGAGTCAAAGTGGAGCTGAGTATATCTACTTGAATATAGTTATTAAGTGAATGAATGATTCATATTCATAAAATCCATGTTAGTTTACGCGCATGTATGGTACTTTTGCTCAATAAAGTTAGTGCATTTATTTAGTAAAATCGACTGCAATTCTGTGTCGCAGTTATGTATTATGTAAAATTTACCGATGTTGTCTGAGCATCAGCGTAAACTCAATGCCATGTTGAAAAGTATGATTTTAAACGCACATTCAAAGTCATAATATTATTGCCCGCTACAATCCGTTTCACTTGGATGCACACAAGCAAGAGACAACTATGTATTCTGCTGCTACCTCAATATCAAGACGCTCTAACAAAGAAAATTTTACATGGTAGAGTCTTTGATCCATCACAGGAAACAAATACACACGCGTAACATGGTTATGATGCCACGGTTGTAGCGCGAATTTATCCCTAAGCCATCCTCACTAACCTTCATCACTAACCATAATTACTAACCATCATCACTAACCGTCATCACTAAACCGTCATCGCTAACCGTTATCACTAACTGTTATCACTAACTGTCATCACTACCGTTATCACTAACCGTTATCACTAACTGTTATCACTAACCGTCATCACTAAACTGTCATCGCTAACCGTTATCACTAAACTGTCATCGCTAATCGTTAACACTAACTGTCATCACTAACCATCATCACTACCGTTATCACTAACCAGCATCACTAACCATCATCACTACCGTTATCACTAACCGTCATCACTAACCGTTATCACTAAACGTTATCACTAACCGTTATAACTAACCGTTATCACTAACCGTTATCACTAACCATCATCACTAACCATCATCACTAACCATCTTCACTAACCATCATCACTAACCGTTATCACTAACTGTTATCACTAACCGTCATCACTAAACTATCATCGCTAACCGTTATCACTAAACTGTCATCGCTAACCGTTATCACTTACCGCCATCACTAACTGTCATCACTAACCATCATCACTAACCATCATCACTAACCATCATCGCTAACCATCATCACTGATTATCATCACTAACCGTCATCACTAACCGTCATCACAAAGCCGTCATGAAACGCTATTAAGAAATCTTCGATAGATACGTAATAATTTTAGATTGTATGTACAATCACAATTTAGTTTCGAATACGGACTTTGCTGATACACCTGCCAGCGACCTTCATATATAGAATCTTTTGCGCATTCAAATTGCTTGTTATGTATGCAAGTAAAAGAAAAATTTATTATTTTTATAACCATTTCGGCAAATACATCGTTCATGCTTTCACGACAGAGATACTTAAATGTTCGATGCAATATCCGTGGATTTATGCGAGAGATTATTGTTAGCCTCGCGCAACTCAAGCTGTCGCGTTCTCAATAAAATGCACGCATTCAGCCACATTATATCCGCATGCGTAGCTTCACTCCAAAAGGAGTAAAAAGAGTAAGCGCCTTGCCAATTGAAGTGTCAAGATCATTGATATTTTGGGAAAATAGAAATAAACGAGGGCTTTTCATTGATAACAATTCGCAATGCAGAACAAACTTTCCACGTTATGGTACTCTGCACACCGAGGTACAATATTATTACAAAAATAGGAGAGAACTCATCATTATAGATTTTATTCGTGGCAACTGTATTCTACAATGCTAATGATTTTCACGCTATTTCATGGTTAATTCTAACAACATAATAATGAAAGGATTTCTCATTTTAATACAAGTTTCCGAACAGGAACCACAAAATACAAACTCTCAGGTACATTGATAACTTTGCGTACTTTGTAGAGCTCGGCTCATTCAATTGCCAGAGAACTCGGGCTGTGCCGAACCTGCTTGTCAAACATTGCTCCTCTAGACTCCTTCAAATTCCAGTAGCTGATTGAGTGAGCGGAGCATCCGGCGACAATTTGAGGAAATTCATAGAAGGCACACGATTGAATTTGTTCGACAAATCGCAGGTGAAAAAATCATTCGTTATTCCGAAGACTCTGGCATAAAAACCAATAGGTAAATTCTATCGTCGATTGAGGCTTCCTAACCAATCACAAAACGATTGGAAAATTGTTCATGGGAAAACGAAAAATCTATTGGTAAAAATCTTAGTTAGTTTACCGCAATTGGAATCTGGAATATTTCAGGTTGCTTCAACTGGCGCCACGTGGAATACGAATGACATGAAACTTTCTGCTACCTCATAGAACATTTGAGCAAATTATCCATTATAAATCAAGGTTAACTTCAATAACCTGCCGTTCCATTCAATAAATTGAGAGAAGCTTACAAATTTATAGTCGCGAATTGCAGCATTGAATTATGCTGCGAGGAAGTTTTAAAATTATATTACTGAAGGAAGTTCCGTCTTTTTTGACGAGTTAAGATGAAGTCACTGGAGAGGAAAGGATATTTGAGACCTAATTACAAAACGGAAAATTTATGAAACAGAAAATGCATGGAACGCCACACGGTGAATAAAATAAATAAGTATTTATATATGTTTTGGTGCAATTAAATGTAAAAAAGTAACGAGGTGCTGCAAAATCAAGTAGAAATTTTATTCATGCGGCATGTAGATAATATGTAGATTGTTGTTAAGGTAGTTCTTTTTTTAGACGATAACAACCAAAATTCCAACCATGCAACATTTAAATATCAGTGTAAGTATTAAACCTCGAAAGCTTAATATTTAAAATATTTAATATCAAAAGTTTTCATTAAGAAAATTTGATAGCACGTTTTTCCATTGTTAAATTGATTTTGACTGTTAATTAATTTTTTTGAAAAATAAATGATATTGAAGTTTTTTGCGAGGTTTGCTTGGTAGCAGTTCTTCATACGATTGAATTAAGAATACAAAATTCAAAATTAAACTGAATTTAAATTTTCAAAATTTGACTCAAAATATAATTAAAAATAAAATCTGAGCCTGCACAAACTTCAGAAGTTCCCAAAATTTGCAAAAATTGAAACCCCAGAACGAAAAATCTGCAACTATTTTTCAAATATGGATAATATGTAGTCAGAAATAACACAGCGATAATAATGATAATCAGTTCCCAAACCAAGCAAAAAAATTTAGACTTTCAATGAAGAGAAAACTCATAATGACCTGGAAAATGACAATAAACATGGCGCAAAAAGACCGAGCAAGGCATGAATGGCCGGCAAAAGTTGTAATGAGGTTGTTGACTGCAGACTAGAGTGACGCTCATCTTCTATGGGAAATGTTGTTGAACAAGACATTGCGTGAACTGCAAAAGCTTGTTGGATGCTAGCCAATGGTCATGCATGAAGAGCCTGGAACTCCGTCGTGCAACGAGACAAGGATGCACAGTTTGGTTAGCTTCAAATGTGAACGTTAAAAACGGAAAAATTCATTTTTTATTTAGCAAGCTTCAAATGTGAACGTTACAAACGGAAAAAATCATTTTATATTTAGCAAGCTTCAATCGTGAACGTTTAAAAACAGATCGCAATATCGTATTTTGCTGGTCAATAGATTATATTTTTATGCATCATTACCGAGTTACGTTTTGATAGGCGACTCATGCCGTAACCCAAAGAATTATTTATTTTTGCAAGCAAAGTACGATATTACTTTGTATTGCTCGAAATAATTGTGACAAATAGCACTAATGACTGCGTCCTTTACTTATTACCAATTAGTAGTAGAAAAATGATGAATTTACTGATGTGAAATTATATTTAAAGTAAATATTGAATGACCAATCACGAAACAAAATAGTTTTCATCATTTTGCAGTATTTCGATGAAAATTCTTCACAGTGAAATTTTTAATTCAAAATGATTTAGAACTGTGCACAGAAAAAACAAACAGATTAAGTAAAGTGAAAAGAAAATAACTTTTCCCATCAGTTCATGCACCAGAAAATTGTGACCGTCAAATTGTTTGTGTTTACACGATTTTTTGCTATCATTTCCGGGAGAAGCGCTTAGCTGCAGGAAGTTAAAGGACGAGCGAGTGTAATGCGATGCTGCAGCGGAGCTACACGCACAGAAATCAATGAGACTTTATCCAAATATCGACGCACTTTTGCCCTTATGTGGGTCATCTTGTTCCAGTTTGGCTCGAAAAAGGGACGCTTCAGTGTCACAGACCACAAGTGTGTCTCTATTTGGACAAAATGATCTACCGAATATACTGAGTGTACAAGAGCCCCCAAGGCCGCGTCAGTATTTTCTATTTTCTGCGGTCAAAATAAGAACACGAAAAATGGATGACAAAATTTACTAGAGAATATACATGAACTTTAGTAAAATGGATTCAATTGGATTTATGATCATAATTTGTATGATTTATTTATTGGAAAAATGCAGTTATATTTTTTCAACTGAGTGTTGGAAAGAAATAACTATTTCTAGAATTACATTGGCTTAACAAGTAGCATAAAATACCGTTTTAGATATTTTCAGAACTTTAAATAGGAAAAAACATAATAACTGTTAACATGCATAACTTTAAAATATGAGATATTGAGGTTCTATATTTATTTATGTAACAAAATAAGTGGCGCCTTTTATTATCAACTTGCAACGATTTCCGCTAAGGAAGCAAAGCGTCGATTGTTTTCTGGGCATCTCGCGGAAGCACAGATTGCCGTCTGGCTCCAACATGGCGCCGCGAGGATGAGTAGAATGTCAACCGATTATATAAATGGGTTATTTAAATAATCTATATTATTTTATACATAGACCAACGTCGCAAAAATGAGTAGAATGTCAAGATTTACATAAATCAATTATTTACATAACCTATACCATATATAATTTAAGCACCGCAAGGTTGAATAGAATGCTATCCGGCTGGGTAAATAAATTATTTATATAACCTATATAATAAATACACATGCAGCGTCTCGGTCGAATGAAATGACATCTGGTTTTATAAATTAAAATATAAATTTAAGAAATAGCCCTTCATTAGCCCACGTTTCATTAAGAAGTATTCTGCTAGAAATGCGTTACTCATTTTATCTTGTTATTCATGCGGCAAAATTTTAAAACTCTCAGGCCCTAAGATGTTAGGAGCACTGAGACAATTAACAAATTTGTTATAAGGAAGTTTCAAGCAAAGTCGGCATACGTTTAAATGATACATATTACATGGAGACATCTGGTCCAACATATGTATTTCAAACCGCTCGCGTGTAGCGTATTTCATTATAAGCTCATATTGTTCCAAAAATATTGCCAATTGTCAATCGTAATGAGATTGCCACTTCACAGCGGCCAATTACGCGTTCTTGCTATGAGGATAAAATAACAGGAGAGTAGGAGGCATAAACTGTTAATGGTATGGCATTAGGGAAAAGGACGTGGCTAGAAAGAACCCAGTCGTCGCCGAAAAAAGTAGTTTGCGATTCTGAGATTAGGAGAGAAAGAATGATGCCGAATGAAAATGGTAGGAGGAGAATGAATATATGAATGAACAAATGATTTAAGAATGCGGTGAAAGAATTGTCGAGCAGAGACAGTAAAAAAGAGGTGATGTTGTGTTGCGCTGACAATGTCGTTTCTAACGACACGTGCGAATTTTTGGTGAAGTGTTTCGAGAGTCTACACAAAATTGATTACTTGTTTATATTGACGGAATTACAACGGAGAGAACGTCTCTGAAGACGTCTCTGAATGCCCATCGTGATGTGTCGTGCGACTTTTTTCTAAAAAAGATCAGTTTATGAAAAAAATGCTAAATCTTTGTTAACTAGTGGCAACATGGCAACTTTTATTCACCAAAAACACTTTTTATGCAACTCTGTTCAAAACTGAACAGAAAGCATCTAAATATCAAAAAATTAGTTAATAGGAATTAATGATGTACAGTACAAACAATATTAAGAAACAGACAGCATCAGAGCTATAAGTCGGTAAAATGTGAAAACTTTGCCGTAAACAATAGAAAATTAAATACTAATATTCTATTCAAACCGGACTGTTCAATAGACAAAGAAAACTGAGATTAGTTTAAATAGAGAAGTAAACGTGCAACGTGCAGAATTCATGCGGTAGAAGAATTTTGTTCGCATGCAGAACTCTATAGACTCACTTCAAACGAAGCCTTTCAAAACGTATTCATTATTCACTCTAGAAGGTTTTCCGAAGAAGACATTATGGATTTAAAAGCTCAGCAGTCAAGTTTTGAACCATTTTTATTGAAAGCAACTAATTCCTCAATAAATTTATCAATAGCTCTCCTTAAAATTTTTAACCTTTTAAACTTTCTCCTTAAAAACCGATATGAGATAAAATTTTTAATCCAGTGACAGGTTGGAAGAGTAAATTTTAATGAGAGTAGCAAATAATGATCATATTTTAACCACAATACAAGCAAAATAAGTGTTTATGACCTCACATTAGCTCTATGCTCTATTTTTTTATATTGAAGGTTAATCGAATTCAACGCGGCAATTGCCTATGATTCACGCTTGATTGTAATAAATTAGATAATTGACTATGACATAATCAAATCCCAATCCAATCATCGAAATTCAGAAAACCTTCTTAAGCGAAAAAGCACAACTTTTCTCTCCAGTGACTTGCATCCTTTACGTTGACCCTATCCTACATTCAAAGAACACTGTAAGGTCCTTCAAAAAAAGTCCATGGTTTTTATTGCAGTCTTAAATTTTTGCTGAACAAACGCTTACCAAGTGCGTTATTTTACATGTACTAACACAAAGAGATAAACTAAGAATGATGTTGATCTACCTTAGGGTTGAGGTCAGATCCTTGCTGCATTAGCGTTCCGATGGTGAACCAAAAGGAGTTCGCGAGAGTGAAGTCATTAGAAAGAGTCTCCCTCTTGGTGGCGCAAGGATGTGGCATTTGCCACTCAAAGGGACTGAAGCGAGCCACCACAAAAATCGTAACGGACACGGCAATGTACGCAGCCAAGATGTATAGCCAGATCTCGATAGCCAGTGGATTCATGAAGCTAAACAAGCGCGTCGGCATGCGCTCAGGCACCTAGAGAAATAGGCGCCGTGATTGTTTTGCTGTCATTTATGGAAAAATAATCATTGAGAACCTGAATACAAGAGTCTTGGTTTAAGTTAATGGATTTCAGCATAAATTTACGATCGAATAACGAGCATCTAATGACAGTCTTGCATCAACACCTTCGAGGTTTCAAAGAACCAAGCCCAAAAAATCGAAGACCGAATGATCAAGGATGTGAAATCACTATTACAGGAAGGTAATTTTAGTGGCAATGTTTAATCGTTTTAAAATTATTGTTACGTGGAATGTTGTAAGAGAATTATCGTCTGTGTTAGTTACTTCACTTTTACTTTGAAAAAAATTCATAGCATATATTGAAAATTGACCTTTACTTCAAAACGTTCAGGAATGTATTTGTTCACTAATTGAAACATATCTGCAAACAGAAATGACTTGAGCTTTGGATCGCTTCATTAAAAATTCTTTAGTCTGTAGAGATCTGAGTGGAACCTACCTTAAGAAATTTTTGAATGCATATGATTTGTACAATTTGATTAGAAGTGTTACGCGTGAATCTTATGTCAATGATTTATGTTCTTCGATGAATGATGGACGCGTTTTTGATGAAAGGACCATGAAAGCAACAATCAAAATAACAAAAAAATGCGAGTAGTAATAATGATGTTATTGCATGCAGGATCACAGGGTATAAATTGCTCGGCTGTAGAAGGCAAAAGACTCAAGTTTTGCGCTACTAATACAACTAGTGATAATAATATGATAACTAATGATAATAATATAATATGATATGATGATAATCAAACAAATGCCAAGAATTTACGCAATGAAAATATCCGCAGCGTTAAGCAAACAATTTCTCTACTATTCCCAACCCAGGAAAATTTGTTAAATTTATCTGAGTGTTCATTCAAAGTAAGAAAGGGATTTTGGACAGAGGTAAGCAAATTTCGAAATGAAAAGAAAATGTATAGTAATTTAAACGAATGATTCGGAAATACTGGTAATTTGCATCGTCTTTTTTTAACAATACCTTGAATCTTGTATTGGAGCCCGGACGGAGAACCGTACCCATAATGATCAAAGCGAGGTTTTCGTTTCATCAAATTAAAAATTACCTTCGGGTTCAAACCGGAGCCTTGCCGGAGAAGTGTACCGGTAATGAACCAGAAAGTGTTATTGAGATTGAACTGGTTCTCGACGGTAACGGGTTCGTCGTGACACGGGTGAGGGTCACCCCATTCGTAGGGACTGAACCGCGCCATTACGAACATCGTAAAAGATACGAGAACGTACGCCGCAAGCACGTACAGCCAAATTTCAACGGCTAACGGGTTCATGAATGAGAAGAGACGGGTTGGTTGGCGAGAGGGGACCTGTAAAGATATGAATGGTTTTCAACCGCTACCGGGTTCATGAATGAGAAGAGACGGGTTGGTTGGAGAGAGGGGACCTGCGAAGATAGTATGGTTTTCAACCGCTACCGGATTCATGAATGAGAAGAGACGGGTTGGTTGGAGAAAGGGGACCTGCGAAGAAATGAATTGTTTTCATCCGCTTAAGGATTCATGAGATACGAGCGACGCATTGGCAGACTTGAGGGAACTTGTAAAGATTTATAAGATTTCCCAACGTGGATCTGCACATGAAAGATTAATGACCCAGAGAGAATTCGACATGATAGGTTAACACGCTGGAAAAGAGAAAAGTGCATGTAGGGCCAGTACACATCATCGATGAAAAAATTATACGCATGTACATCATTTATAAAAGATAAAAAGGTTGTAAATTGTTTATAAAAGATTAACAGGATGCATATCGTTTATATAAGATCAAAAGGATGCAAATCATCTAATAAAGATTGAAAGGGTGTGAGTCATATGACAAAAAATTAAATGGATATAAATAATCATAAATGATTAAAAGGGTGGCATCGTTCATAAAAGAATGATAGGTTTTACGTCGCTTATTAACGGATTGGTATAGTGGCTGGTGGGAGAATGCAAAGAAAATTTGTTCGAATTTGATACTCTGAATAATATGCTTAAAGATATTGGGTTAATATTTTACAAGGATTCTACAGAAACTCTAAGAATTGTATATATCTAAAGAATTTCCAGGTATATTCTCTCGCCGTATTTATAAAAAATATACATGAAATTATGCAAATCAAAGAGAGAAGTGGCTGGCTTCAAAAAAGTACATGATGTTCCTCTATAGAAAGCGTTGATAATGTTTGAATTTGGTAAATTTAATTTTATTGCATCACACGATTTTATGATTCGGAAGGAATTGCAAAATTCTTGGTAAAATAGAGGGAAAAACAAATCGGCCATCGGAAAAATTGAAGCCAAAGTTTAATAAATTGTTTTGCAGAACACATTTAAATAAATAATCCTGAAAAAGATTATCGTTTAATAGCTTTATATTAATAATGAAGACGTAATAAAATGTGTGTAAGTCATTTGTGAGCAAATACCCTTCTGTAAGAACCACGATTTAAGTGAAATTTATTTACCATAGGAATGAATGCTTCTTAAAAAAAAATTTCTGCCATTTTTATGAATTTTGTATCTGAAAATAATTGAATGAGAATAAGTGAAAATGTTGCATAAAAACTTGAAACAGCTAATACAGTTTTCAATGTTGATACATCTATAAACTTCTTTCAAAGTTCTTTCGACTTCCCCATGACCCAATTAAAAAGAGAAAAATTTACAGCACACGGCTAAGAAACAGCGATAAGTTGTATGGAATAAAAATGGAACAAACAGTGGAAAATTTTTTGTCGTCTATTATTATGAAGATTATTATGAAAAATATTGAACTCCGAGCAAAAAAGTGAAACTTTAATAAATTTTCGAATAAAAATGCGCCAAAACATGTGTTTGAAGCGTTTGTCCAATAAAAACTGTCTACAAAAATATTATCATCAGCATCACATTTGGAATCAAAATATTAACTCATTATCTACTTTGATGACTACACAAGTTACGAGCGTTTTGATGCAAATAGTCTTGGTGACGTTTAAATTATCAATGAACTATGAGTTCGAATGAAAGTAAACTGGTACTCTTGTATTCATGAAAGGTTATTCGTGAAAGGTTATTCATGAGAGGTTATTCATGAGAGGTTATTCATGAAAGGTTATTCATGAAAGGTCATTCATGAAAGGTTATTCATGAAAGGCTATTCATGAAAGGTTATTCATGAAAGGTTATTCATGAAAGGTTATTCATGAAAGGTTATTCATGAAAGGTTATTCATGAACGGTTACTCATGAAAGTTATTCATGAAAGGTTATTCCTGAAAGGTTATTCATGAAAGAATATTCATTAATGGTTACTCATGAAAGATTATTCATGAATGGTTATTCATGAAAGGTTATTCATGAGAGGATATTCATGAAAGGTTATTCCTGAAAGGTTCTTGTGAACGCACCTTGAAGAGGATAGAGATGCCGAGGTTCATGAAGGGTTTAGTGAAGTCGATGACGCTCTCACGCGCGTAGTTGATGGTCATGGAGCCCACGGCCAGGTCTGCTTTCTGTACGTCACAGAGCACGTCATGTTTTATTACATGCGTCTTGATGTTACATGCACATTAAATGTTGTATTAACTTTTCATCAAATTTTAACTAATGTATGAAAATTTAAATCTTTCTGTGTTCAAACTCACAAAGTACACGTTATGACTCGAATATTTAGTGCCCACTGTCTGGATTGCAAGTTGCGCGTTGGACTCAATTTTGTTCCATAAATTATTGATTAAGATCGAAAATCAAATTTCATTTTCAATTGTAATTTTACAGTTGGAAAAACCGAGCTAAAGCAACAAAAATGAGTGAAATGCTGCTTAAATCAAGATGAATATTAAAATTTTAGACAATTTATATTCATGAAATAGATCTATTTACTAAAAACGGGCATTTTAAAATAGCTCATCATGGAAAAGCTAAAAACGAGCATAAATATTTTGCGTAAATGACGAGCTAAAGCAACAAACTGTAGACTTACGTACTTGAAGAGGAATTACATACTTAAAGCAAGTAATCCATTCACGCTGATGAATACTTTCAAATTTCTAAAAAGTACTACAAGTACCGGAATTCATACATCGAGTGCTCTGGCATAAGTTTTAATATGTTTAATATTACATAACAAAAATTAAGAAAGAATTGTGGGCTTACCGTGATCAGGGACTCTGTGTGTGATTTTATATTTTTCAATGATTTCAAACCATGAAAAGTCATTACGCTACTAAAAATTAAATAACGCTTGTGACACAATTGAGATTTATGATATATAAAAGATAAATTATAAATAATATACCATTTGATATGTTAATAATAGATTAATAATATATAAATTCATAATATATTAGACCTCAATATCAGCATCCAGACGGTGAACACCAACTACATAACCTTCCCTCCTCACTTCAGTCCACACAAGCTCAGCCTGTTCTCCGACAGAACACAATGCACACTCTCACTCACTCCAAGTTCTCCACAAAAGTCAACTTTACCAACTTGTGGAGCACCAAAGTTGTGTCCACACGGGTTTCACATAGCGACTTGCTTGGCCTCCGAACAAAACTACGTCATCACAAATAATTTCTAATTAACATTGAAGCTCCCGTGAGTGAACTATCAATATAATCAAAATAGCAATGGTACTTGTCACTTGGTGATATTAATTCGATTAGAAACTCTAACCGACGTGAATTCTGGAAGTTTGATAATCAGTGGAAAAGTCACTACTATTTTCGAGATTCAAAACAGATAATGATGACAAACTCAGATGGTCAATATGAAAATATGTTATTCTAAATTTGACCACCAGATTGTTACTAAAATTTGATCTTGGATCTAGGGTAAAAATATCTTTAAAAAAATGAAAATTAAGAAGTGAATGGAGATTGAAATGTGAATAGAGATTAAGATGCGAATGAAGTTTAAGATGTGAATGAAGACTGAAATGTGAATGGAGATTGAGATGTGAATGGAGATTAAGATGTGAATGGAGATTAAGATGTGAATGGAGATTAAGATGTGAATGGAGATTAAGATGTGAATGGTGATTAAGATGTGAATGGTGACTAAGTTGTGAATGGTAATTAAGATGTGAATGGTGATTAAGATGTGAATGGTGACTAAGATGTGACGATGCGTGATGACTTCGACGCCACTTCGTCAAGAGTGGGGGTTCGGCTGCCCAAGAAGAGGGCTAATGTTGACCATTAGTCTCGAGGGGAGACGACACTCTGAGCTGCTCGTCCAGTCCGTAAAAATGATACAAGTTTTTACGAGCTTTCCAGACTGGCGCTTTGAACTGCCTTCGATAAGCCGAGTCTTGGAGTGACGATGAGGACGGACGAGTCTTGGAGTGACGATGAGGACAGACGAGTCTTAGAGTGACGATGAGGACAGACGAGTCTTAGAGTGACGATGATGACGGACGAGTCTTAGAGTGACGATGAGGACGGACGAGTCTTGGAGTGACGATGATGACGGACGAGTCTTGGAGTGACGATGATGACGGACGAGTCTTGGAGTGACGATGTAGAGACGATGAGGACGGACCAGTCGTGGAGTGACGATGAGGACGGACGAGTCTTGGAGTGACGATGAGGACGGACGAGTCTTGGAGCGACGATGAGGACGGCCGAGTTTTGGAGTGACGATGATGATGGACGAGTCTTGGAGTGACGATGATGACGGACGAGTCTTGGAGTGACGATGAGGACGGACGAGTCTTGGAGAGACGATGAGGACGGACCAGTCTTGGAGTGACGATGAGGACGGACCAGTCTTGGAGTGACGATGACGACGGACGAGTCTTGGAGTGACGATGACGACGGACGAGTCTTGGAGTGACGATGATGACGGACGAGTCTTGGTTAGCGATGATTGCGGACGAGTCATGACCTAGAGATGATGATGGGTCATGGCTTGTCGATGCCCAAGCCAGTAATTTATGATGCTAATGATAACTAAAATATTTTGATTTAATTCGAAAGATGTCCAAGCCAATAGATTTTAAACTAAAAACGTTCAAGCACATAGTTTTGCCATGCTAAAGATGTACAAGCAATTAGTTGTAAATGCTAAAGATGTCCAAGGCATTAGTTTTTCATGCTAAAGATGTCAAGCCGTTAAATTTTTATGCTACTAATGTTAAATCAATTAGGTTTTAATGCGAAATATGTCGAAGCCAGTAGTTTTATTTTTTGCTAAAGATGTCCAAACAATTAGTTTTTAATGCTAAAGATGTCCATGCCATTATTTTTTTGAGCTAAAGATGTTCAAGCCATTAGCTTTTAATGCTAAAGATATCCCAACCATTGGTTTTTGATGCTAAAGATGTTCAAGCCATTAGATTTTAATGCTAAAGATGTTCAAGCCATTATCTTTTAGTGCTAAAGATATCCCAACCATTGATTTTTGATGCTAAAGATGTTCAAGCCATTAGCTTTTAATGCTAAAGATATCCTAACCATTGGTTTTTGATGCTAAAGATGTCCAAGCCGGAAATCAACTCCGTGCAGGCTCTTCTCTCGCGGAATTTCAATCGAAGCTATTTTGTTAGAAGAGAAATTTCATGGGTTTGCAATGTACGAGATTCGCCCATGTGATGAACAAGTAAATGGTGGCATATACAGTATATATATATTGCGTCATTCATCTGTGAGGAGCAAATCCTGCGGGATATTGGAGCATTAGCTAAATCTGAATAATTTGGAATATAGAAGCCAAATCTGGACCATTCAGAAAACAGCAGCTGAGTTTTTCCTCGTCATATCCCGTACTCGAAGTTCCGCAGTAATTCGCGCCTCATAATGAGTGGTGACTCAAATGACGGTATTTACGGTACTTTTATGTCCCTGGTATCATCAGCAACAAGGATAAAAACCTATACTTTCTCGGTCCTAAACAACTTTTTTATTATGACTGCTAAAAATGGATCCATCAACTCCAGAACTTTGCCGATGTTGCGGAGGCAAGAAGTTTAAAGAAAAAGTTTCTCTTTCTCAAGTTGACCGGAAAAATTTTCGATGGTACTGCCACTTGTTGTGAGAAAATCTTGGTTAAGGCAAAAATTTTTCTTTGAAGATCAGTTCAGTGGCACTAAATTTGTGTGTAAGCAACCATAGCATGAAGGAGTCATTGTTTAATTTAGTTAAAAATTCCATATGTTGATTTCATCAAAAGCGATTTGAAGAATAAGAACATAAGACAAATTTTAAAGGCATTCCGGGAAAAATTTTGAAGGCAAAAATAGAATACTGAGTAAAGTTTTCCAGTCTCACGCACCTTCATTCAATATCAGTTTCCGAAGAAGCCAATTTAGCGAACGTAAAAGTAAGAAATACGCTCTCAAATCCCGGCGTGTCCAGCCGGACTCCATAAAAATTCAATAGATTGATCCGGGTGCGCCAATCAAAAATTCTCGAGAGAACAATTTGTTCCGCAGCAAAAAGGCGGTGCAGGGACCAGGCTGTGGAAGGTTTGCCCTTGACAGATGATCGAAATTGCCGCGAATACGAAGCAATTAAATGAGTAGTTACATAACCGAGCGCATGGCGCCATTTTCCATAAACAGCTTAAATCATAGGTTACCCCAATCTTACCCTCGAATATTACCAACAAAATTTTTTTGTTGGTAATATTCGAGGGTAAGATTGGGGTAACCTATGATTTAAGCTGTTTATGGAAAATGGCGCCATGCGCTCGGTTATGTAACTACTTAAATGTCGTGCACGAGAGACCTTACAACTCAGCACTCTCTCTTTAGCTCTTCTTCTATTCACAACAAGCACGCGAACCCAGTACGCGAACCCAGTACGCGAACCCTGTACGCGAACCCAGTACGTGAACCCTGCACGCGAACCCAGTACGCGAACCCAGCACACGAACCAAGTACGTGAACCCAGTACGCGAATCAAATAAGTGAACCCACGCAGTACGCGAAACCAGTAAGCATACCCAGTCGTCGAACCCATTACGCGAACCCAGTAGGCAAACCCAGTACATGAACCCTCTATATGTTCGTTCGAACATCTAACGCCTAAATTCTCTGTTTTATTCTACCAACTTTGTTTATCTCGCTATCCCCGTTGATGAGACGTCGATATTGGTAAACACAATAGGAAATTTGAAAAACGGCACTCGGTCTCAAAATGCACAGAAAATAATCCTGCCATTAAAATTCATAAAAAATAATCTTTACATCAAAATTCACAGTAGAGATTCATTTTATTAAAATTCGAAATAACGAGTCTGGTTATCACAATTTTCAAAGAAGTATTTTTTCGTCTCTAATTTTGTCAAAATTTGCAATAATTTTTTGGCTTGTCATCAAAATTGGCTTGTCATCAAAATTTTCAGCGAAAAATTGTGTCGTCATATATTAATTCGCCCAATTGATTAACGATTGACATGATCTCATTAACTAACCCCGTAGACCTGTTCCTGCTTTGGCTCAATGGATTGCGATGAGACTCGCACAATCCTTGATACTCGCACAATCCTTGATACTCGCACAATCCTTGAAACTCGTACAATCCTTGAAACTCGCACAATCCTTGAAACTCGTACAATTCTTGATATTTGCATGATCCGCGTGATCATTGAGACCGGCACTATAGGCGAGACTCGATCTTTCCGCGAGACTTGCACGATCAGTGAGATCTTGGCCACTCACCCGATTCTTGCCACTCAACCAATCACTGCCACTCACCCGATCCTCACCACTCACCCGATCCTCGCCACTCACCCGATCCTCGCCACTCACCCGATCCTCACCACTCACCCAATCACTGCCACTCACCCGATCCTCACCACTCACCCGATCCTCACCACTCACCCGATCCTCACCACTCACCCTGTCTCTTATACACATCTAGATGTGTATAAGAGACAGGTTCCGTGGAGACTAGTACGTCCACTGCCAGACTCCAGAGTCTCCAGAGTAGACTGGGCTCCATGGAGGCGACTACGCCCACTGCCAGACTCCAGAGTCTCCAGTCCCGGTGCAGTCCCGAGTCCCCAAGCGTTAAATAGAAAGTTCCCAANCGATCCCTGCCACTCACCCGATCCCTGCCACTCACCCGATCCCCGCCACTCACCCGATCCCCGCCACTCACCCGGTCCATAAGCCCCCTGACGAGACCGTTCCACTCGCCGGTCTTCATGTCGATGACGCCATACACGCCCTCCTCCGATATTTCGATCTCGTACTGGAATCCTACCATGAACGAGATCCTCTTCAGGAGGTCCACGCAGAATCCTTCATACCTGTTGTTGCCTGTCAAGTTGCCGTCCCCTTTTATCATCACAAAAGGCGCTTCCTGTTCAGTGAAAAATATGTTCACGATAATCGATTAAAATACAAAAAATAGTGAAAATAAACGTGTGAGATATAGGGCATATTTTATTATTTCTAAGAGCATCAAGTCTACAGGCCTTGTCTACAGGTGGACAAAGCACTAAGATTAGAGAAGAACAACCTGTAAAATAAAATACATAAGCGGTACTTTCAAATATGTAACGTACTGTCCCTAGCAAAGATTATCGGCAATGAAAAAAGTATTTATATCTAAGAATGATGCGGTAGTGAACAAAATAACACGTTAAGGGAAAGGACATTTACCAGCTTCAATGCCCACAAAGAGTTAATAGACGACCCTCAAAAAGCGTCTGATTGCATAGCATAGAGGCGACACACTCATATAAGCAGCAGCCCTACTCTGAGAAACGCAAAACGATCAATGTCTCAATATAGTCGTAAACGCTAAGAATATCTCTTACTGTTCTTGCTTTGTAAAAGCGAATTTGAAGTTAAAAAGCATTGGTTAATTACGCACCATGACCGCATTTACTACCGGCTCCGCTCAAGCGCATTACCCTCTGTAACCCTCAACGGGAAAACAGGTGCACAATTCTACTCCGATGTTAAACACCAAAACGAAGGCGGACCTTATCCATGATCATTCTGACGAGCCCATCCCACTCTCCTGTGGTTTCGTTCAAACTTCCATATCGGCCGTGGTTCGCTTCAATTTCGAAATCAAAGTCTGCCATTTTTGAGAGTTTAGCGAGCAGGTCGACGCAAAATCCGTAATAGCGTAGCGGCGAACCGGGCGGTACGTCGCGGTTGATCATGAAGTATGGTTTCTCCTGCAACAATGGCCACAAAGTAAACATATATATCAATTCGCCACTAAATATTCAACTTTCATTTCAGTAATTATTCATTTCAGTTTGGATTAATGAGGATAAGAACTGTACAATCTACACAGTTTGAAAAAAACGGCGATGAAACGGTCGGACCGGCGTTCAAGTGGCCGGCCGTCCCGTAAAATTCGACACCGATGGTTCGGGTTCCATATGTAATTTTACAGAATAACGGCGAATTTTTTCATTTTAAGGAGCGACCGGTCACTAAAACTTCGGTCCGACCGGTTATTCATCGTTTCTTCGAACAGTGTGCACGCCCAGTGTATGTGTGCTAAAAAATAAAGCGATGAAATTCTAGTCCGAAAATGGATTCGAACAATCTTTGTTTCCCACTGAAGAATTTACAGTGAAAGTAATAGGATAATTCAACGACAATTCGTATAACTTGCCACTATATTCGCACACTTGCCCATAAACTCAAAAAATAATAATAATAAGTTCCACAGAACCTAAACCACAGCCACCACACACTCCACAAACTCACCACAATCCTATTCACCACCACACGTCCCATATCACCACCACACGTCCCGTATCACCACCACACGTCCCAATTCACCACCACACGTCCCAATTCACCACCACAACCCAATTCACCACCACACGTCCCAATTCACCACCACAACCCAATTCACCACCACACAACCCAATTCACCACCACACGTCTCAATTCACCACCACAACCCAATTCACCACCATACATCCCAATTCACCACCACACCACACCAGTTAGGCCACCATTAGCACGATTGAATTCGGCGGCGTCAGCCAAAGCCCAGAATTTTTCCAACATTGCACAGAGCCGCTCCTCGTTCGCCTCTACTACGTGCACTCAGGGAAATGAGTGAAGCTTTGTCCGAATAGTGATGCACTTTTTGCCCTTGTGTGGGTCATCCTAACCTAGTTTGCCCCGGCCAATGAGCGTATCTGTGCTACATCCGCTCTCGGCTCGTGCTGTGTGTAAGAAAGTGTGTCACTATTTGGACATAATGACTCATTCGTTTCCTGAGTGCATGATTCGATATTGATATCTACCAAACTATCAAAATACCTCGCGAACTTGATAATGACAACACAAATTTCAAAATGAATTCTGAATTTTTTTAGAACCAAGCCTGAGAAGAAATAAAAGAGGTTGAGCAAGAAAAATTTTCAATGAGAAGGCAGAGACGAATTAGGACAATTTTCATTCATAATGATTGCAAAATTCATTGTTTCTATTAATGAACTAAAAGTCAGGCCCTCCATGCAAAAATATTGTCATGGAAGGTAAGCGATTAATAAAATATTTCTTGAAAACAGCACTAGTAGTAGATCAAAACATCAGGGAAATATTTATTTTAAAAACGTTCTGCTGCATTTCCATTTTTACTGGCATCCGCACATATTGCATCACGAGCAAGGCACACTGCAGTGTAAGAAGCTCCTATTCAGCAAATAATATTCGAAGCTAGAGTCACTCCATGCACCATTTTTGCCATGACTTAGATTCCCTGCCAAGGCATCGCAGCGCCCGGGCTATAGTGAGCAGAACTCAGTCAAATGCACTGCACGACTCCTACTAGCAATTCTAAAGCACAAATTCCATTCTAAAGCACAAATTCTATTCCATGCGCACCCAATTGCAGAAATTTGTGGACCTTATACGTCGACTTGAGGTCCCTGGTTGTAGGAATATTTTCTCGAAATTCATTGTCCTCATAGCAAATCTGATAAGTAGAAAAGTATACACTGCATAAGTATACACTGCATGGAAAAATTAATTCTTGTACGCAAATAAAAAAGGATTTGATCATGGAAAGAAATTATTTATCCGGGCAAAGAATTGCTAGAAAAATATAAATGCAGATATACCGTTTAGGTAAATGTATTAATTCAAGTAGACTGTCCCTTAAAATTCAAGAATGACCTGCAACTTTGTAGGTCATTCATTGTAGATTACAACTTGTATAAGGTCCATGGTGGTAGAATGAGTCCATCATTAAGGAGTGAAATACAGAAATACAAAGTTGAAGGTATTTAAGAACAGATTATGACGATTTGATTGATTGATTTCTCGTTGACCTCGAACAAAATTAGTTAGCGACGAAGCATGAATCGCCTCAACGCAGTTATGAATGAATCTGTGGAGTCTGCATGAGCAACTTCAAGGTGGACTGCTCTGCTCGCCATGCACGAGAACAGTACGCCGTATCTTTTTTATTGTCATTGGCACAAGGTGACATAAAATAGACCAAAATAATCCATCCCAGTAGATGCAATGCTGGAGTTTGATCTGCCACTCTAGCGCGTGGAAGATCTGACATCAGAGTATATATGGCATGACCTGCCATGCGGTTTTCGGCAAGTGAGACAAGTAGTAGTAGCAGTAGTAGTATGTTGGTTTGCTAGCGCTTCAGCTATCAAGCTATTTCGCACCGAAGGTCAAAATATAACACCGCCTAAGAGGCGGAAGGTCTCAATTATTCAAAATCTAAAATTAATCATCACCCACAAGGGGCGGAAAGTCTCAATTGTCCAGCCCGCTGAAGCTGGCTCGAAAGAAGCAGCGTTAACATCTCAAAAGAGACGAAGTGACAAGGAGGGACAGGTGAAAAGCAGCAGAAACTAAGACACTCTAACAAGAAGTCGCTTACACGGGACGTCGGCCGCCCGCACGAGAGAGACAGAGAAGGGAAATGTAAGGAATCCTACCTACATAGTAACTTAACCCCACAACTGAGACCTGCAGTCAGACACCGCGAGCTCAGCGGTGGGGCGCTCAGGAACAATCCCCCTAGGAACGCGAAGCAAGTGAGACAATCGCGTAAGATTTTTCTCACAAGTGAATTTGCCTTGACAATCCAGTACATCTGTCGAGAGCTGACAGAACAGTTTGTAGCCCGAGGTGACACCATTCATGACAATATCTAACTAGCCGCGTCTGAAGCTTGCCGATGAATAATTGGATGCTTGACTTCGAACGATTTCATTAAGCGCAGCGGTCGTTGCTTTGCACGTTTGAAGGAAAATCATTTGTCTAAAAATTGTCCCAAAAGGTCTACTTGCTCAACCTATGCAGAGGGCCAACCTAACGCTTTTCGCAGGGCAGCTGATATGTTAGTTCATGCTCCACGTGAGCTTGACAGTTCGGTAAGGTGAGCCAAAAGTTGCTCCATCAGGTCAGCTGCAGACTTGACAACTCGAATTGGTAATGTGTACTGTATTACCCGGTAAATTTCGGTAATAGGTGGCAATAAAGTTATTGTCAATGCGGCACTTGATCCATGCTCAATCAATTCCTGGATGAACGAAAAACTCGTCAAAAAGCTTGGTGCGAAAACTAGTAGTGTAGAGCTGAAATCTGTGCACTATGACCTCTCTTAGCCGTTATATGGCCACGGTTTTGAACAATGCCTTGATCCGTAATCCCAATGGGGCAAGAATTGTTAAAATTCCATTTGCATACTCTAGACCTGATCAGAATTAGCCATTTTATCAATCAGATGTCCCCACTGCTGACCATGTCAAGAGGTTTCCTCATTTTAGGGATGTTCCTTTTCAGCTTTGTTGATGTAGAAATATAAATGATGCACTACGCTGCATTTATACCGGTGATGATAACCAAACATTTTGTTGAGAGGGTTCCTCAATAGCAGCTCCAGTATGAAACAAGTCCGGCTTGGTTCTTGGCGCATCATGCTGCTGCTCACAAAACCAAAAAAATGAGAGAGTTGAATTTGATTGCTCGTTGAAATATTAAGGAGTGTCTTTAAACGACAACTTGTTGCAAGGCCCCGATTTGACGTATCTTTTGTTCGGTGTACTCCTGCTTTTCAGACAAGGATCTGTTGCTAGCATGGCAGACATAGAGCAAATGTCTGAAACGGTCCCACCAGGAAACGGTCCCACAAAACTATTCCAACTTGATGCGTTTCTTCTGGAACGACGATCAAGGTAAGCCAGCTGAGTACCGACTGCGCGTGCATGTATTCGGTACCAAAAGTTTACCTAGCGTAGCTTCGTTTGCTCTTCGTCGCGCTGCGCTTGACGCTTACTGATGGAGCGTAGCAAAAAGCTGTCCAAAGGAACTTCTACGTCGGCGACTTCCTTCTATCTTCATCAGATCCAACAGCAGCTGAATTGCTTTGCGATGAAGTTAAAGGCCTACTCCCAGAAGGAGGGTTCAACCTGGCAGAATTCAAAGGTAATTACCAAAAATGTGATCTGAAACAGAAGGGTATCGAATTCCGACCACCCGCTACCGGAACTGCTCCCGACAGAGTACCGAGCGTGTTGAGGAACTTGTCCGATGACACCCTTAATACAAGCGTATGCGTAAAAAAGCGTGAGCGTAAAAAAAGCGTGAGCGTAAAAGAAATGTCATAGACACCTAGAAAAATCATTGTACCATTAGGTATTGTCGGTCCCGTCTTGTTGCCTGACCGAAAACTTTTTCTGGAAGGCTGTATGCAAAAGCTCGATTGAGATTCTGGCTCCCAGCTAAACTACTGAGTGTGGAATGTCTGGAAAGAGGATATCGCTCTTAAAAGCGAGTTCAAAATCCATATACTGTATTAGCTATCGACGCCTATTTCAGACTTGATAGTGAGGAAATTTAAAAAATTAGGTAAAGTAAAAAAAAAGGAAATTCTAAAACTGGTTCTTAAATTTTTATTACACAAGTTCCCACTCTAGCACGGTTATAAACCCCAGTGAAACTAAAATAACACAAATATATAACAACCCATATACCCTATTTACTCTACAATGCACATATATAAGTGAACACATAAGAACCTTCCCAAAACTACAAGGAACCACCCTGACAAGGATTCGGGGCCCCACACATCCAAACACAAACAGCCTAATTAAACAAACTCAACGAATTGGCGGCCGTGACCGCTGTGACACGCTTGGAGTCAACAAACTCAACGAATTGGCGGCCGTGACCGCTGTGA